AAAAGAAAAAAAAATATTGTCTTTGTGTAAGGGTTTTTAGTACCGTGTTTCGTTAGTACGGCCGCACTACATTCAATAGGCTTCATAGCGCTGATACTTTATAATTGGATCCCCTCATTATTTCACTCAATTGAGCAGAAATTTATAAATTAGAAGAAAATGGTACAGTCCCCGTGGAACTGAAGACGGTTGCATAATAAGTAGGTCTAGCTTACCGAATATTACGATCAAATCAAGGGGGTTGAGATGGAAGGGGTGTACAGGGCGCACAGGGAGACCGGAAATAAATTGCGAATTCTAGTCGGACGTGACTTTTAGATCATCCTGTTTTAGGAGTATGTGATTGAACATTGTTGCATAGACAATCATTATACATTTTTGACTGAAGATTTTGAGGAAGGTCCTACATTAGCAGATATTCTAAGGAAAATAAAATAATCGTGGAGGGAGTAATGTGCTAGTTGAAAAGCTGGTAGTCGCTCAGCTGGTTGAAAAATTACCTGTTATTTATGTAACCAGAAAGTTCATTGCTCTGTCCTGAGAAAATTAAATTAAGTAAAAAATGCCGCCACCCATCTCTGTAAGATCCATTTAATATTATTCTCTTATCTACGCCTAGGTCTTCCAAGTGGCTTTTTCACTTTAGTTTCCCCGATAAAAATTCTGCGTTTATTCTTAAAAAAAATAAACATTTTGTTTCCGCACAAGGCAAGTGTTTTGACTGGCTGATGCACTTTAAGCTTCTGAAGAGGGGCCGTGTTCTTTTTATTTAGTTGGCTGTGAAACATTTGGAAACTTCTCGAAATTTTACGAATGCTCGTGTTTTTTTTTTTGTGTTTCGTTATCTGGAGATGCAGTGGCCATCTTGAAGTTTTTGTTCCCAGCGAATGCTTGCGAGCCCGACTCTGGTAACATACCAGGATACTCTGTGTGCAGGGAGGGTGGGCAGATGGGTCCACATTCACGAGATAATTGAGCTTCAGCGAGGGTCTTCAAACAACTGCAAGGCTGGAGGCAGTCAATTAAAACGCGGTGTGTTACATTGCTGTAGAAAACATTTCACTGCACCCTGAACCACAGACAACGCTGCATTTGTTCAAATATGGAAACCAATGTTTCGATAAACCCTGGCAGGTGAAGCAGTGAAAGCCAACATCTCGTTTATTTGCCTTTCGGATGAATGCTGTCGGTCAAGTGTTGGTAAAAACACTGCTTATCAGTACGAGACTATGAAGATGTGTTAAATATGCAGGCCTCTCATTGCTGTTTGAGTAATAATATTACAGTTCTTTCACTGACGATGTATGAGGCTGATTAGTTAATTCGCGGTTCGGTCCTGTTTAAAATGTTCTGTTCCCTGCTTTACGTAAGTTCTAGTCGAACATATTAAGTACTTAAAACTCTGACGAGGAATCGATGTAATGCAAGTAAGTTAATTCGGAATTAAGGCACGGCGATTGATGGACAAAGAGAGACAGTACAGAAATAAACTCGATTCTCAGTAGCGCAGATGACAGCGTAGAATCGCGACGAGGGTATTTAGTATCTCAGATCACTTTCACCTCAGCTACAGACGCGAAGTGGCCCTGGGGATAGAAGTAATCACGCCATTTAATTAGGTGTCAAGTTCGTCGACCAGAATTCCTCGCGCTTCCCACCTACATATATAGCGGACCACACACTTAATGGTGGCCAGAGTAAGAAATCGTTAAGTGTTCATACGTTCTTTCACAAAACATAAAGCAATTCCGACTTCATTTCTTAACTATTAGGAACTTAAATGTAGGGGTCAAAGATTGGCGTGTGTGATCAAGGAAGTGACAAACTGCATTCATGAAGAAGGAGGATCCTTGAGTAGCCAGCAGGAAATTCCACACTTTTCACGGAATCAAAAATTGTTCACGACAGCTAGACGTCTGGCCCTATACAGACGCAGATGAATCGAAAACACGCCATGCCATCATATTTACTCTTAATATTAACGCCTTGTGAGAGACTTCATGTGGTGCATCTTGACTCCAGTTATTCTTATAAAAATCGTATTCTCAAGAACTTTCGTTCATTGTTATTCTTTTATTGTGAGACGAAGTTTCACACGATTTCAAAACAACGGCAAAAATATTCTTTTGCGTATTTTAATCTTCACGTTTTTAGGTATTTTGAACTGGATGGCAGTCAGCGTTTCTTGAGTTTAATCTACTTTTGATTTAATCGTGAATGCAAATTTTATTTGTTACTGTGGTTCACAAATATTTGAATTTCGACATATTTTCCAGAACTTGTTCCCTATAATACAGCGTCTGTTTTTTTATTTGTGGCATTTATGTCGTATAATAAGTAAACATAAAGAACATAGGTCAAAAGCTGATTTGTGAAAATTCAATTTCAGCCACTCTGTTTACTCGGATCTTTTAATAGCGTAAACCAGAGATGAAAAGCAGTGATAAAGCACTTCTTTGTTCCTTTTGGAAATTTCTGAATAGGAAATGCATTAGACAAACTGATCTATTTGCCTTAGAGACCTCATTATAAGTTTAGTTTAAACACATTTTATTAGTATCCTGTATGCGCAAAGTATAAAAGATGAAAATTAAGAAGTAATTCCGTCGGTACATCGCCCATGAATTTCAGAAATCAATGTAGTAGCCTTCGTGTGTCGTAATTGGACCGGTATCCCGAAATAAACATACCGTAGAAAGGAAATGGTTAATTAAAAAATGACTGTATTCTGTGATGTTGTGCCGTGCAGCCTCGTATAGAAATTGACCGACGTTTCAGAGGTACTTACTCCCTCACCATACCGCGCACCATCGATTTCATCCTTATGCAGTTACTATCACCATTCGCAGTAATTTTCTCATGTTATTTAACTTCTGCGTTTATTATAGATTCTTTAACCTGTGAGCTAACCATTTATACCAGTTAAGACCATTACAGTGAAATTCGTGCCTTTGCCACAAACATCGCATTTAGATGTTTAATATTCATTTATCAATCATGCGTTAAGTCAAATTACAATTTGCCTTTCTGTTGACTACAGTAGTTTTAATCTTGACAGAAAAAAAATAAGTACATCACTTAGCGATTTATTTCACAATCTAAGCGGAAGTGTCAATTGAACATTTTCGATTCAGATAACACTTTCCTTTGTCTGCGTCTTGTTTATATAGTTCAATACTAAGAAGTAGTTACAAGCGTTGTGGATTGTAAATGTATGGGGACTTAGGGTAGGCACACGTGACCAATATTTAAAACACGGTGTAACAGAAGATTCGTCTTGGGAGCTGAGAAAGATCACGAAACCTTCCAACCCATATAACTGGCGTTGATTTCAGTTGTGGATGCGAAGTGAAAAGGCTTCGTATACTAATCCTATAGAGGGCTGCTTTTACGTCTTATTACAGTCATAGCAAGGCTTGATGAAACAGAAAAATGCCGACCAAACTCTCTGGCTGTGGCATCTCTTTGCTGGCAACAATGTCTGCTTTTATCCATATCAGTGGCTGCAAAGTCTTAACAATGGAATCGCAGATCTGAATCCCGCATTGATGTTTCTAAGCGTGTTCTTTTTTGTATTGTAATCAAATGTATTATCTTTAAAAAAAATGATACTTTTGCTTCAGAAATTCTAGTAGTTCTAAATTATTTACATGACCTCAATGACCATCTAAAATTTTAAAAAAATATTTCTGTGGGGTGTGATTCTGGGTTGCAGAGCATTCTAGTCTGGAAGACGTAAACCCCTGGTAAACTTCTACCAGACTACAGTCTAATGAAGATATCACGACACTGCAACCGAGAAGACCGCCATCTTCATGACGGATTTAAATTACTCTTCTTAAAGCAATTTTTTCTTGCGGGTGTATCAGTCAGTAATTAAGATAGTGATCTACTCATTTTCTATTGTACATTGTTTCAAGTAACTCACAATCAGTTCTTTAAGTGTTTATAAAATCTGGGTCAGATATTATCGTCAGTTATGCCCCATAAACTTTTATCATTTTGTGCAATTTATTACAAAACTCTACGGATTGACTGAGGAAGAAATCTGATATATTATCTATTTGGTTCTCTTTGTCGAGTACTTAAATTAAGAGCATCTTGATTCTAATCGATAAGATAATGGGTAAGATTTCATTGTATTTTGTGAGTGTCGTCTATAAGAATATATCGATTCAAATTCATCCACTTGTAGTACTGATACTGTGAAGTATGCAAAGTATGCAATCGATTATTGTAATAATTTCAAATCAGACAATCGATTGTTAAATCTGGTTTACGAAGGACAAATTAAACTGTACTAACAAAATAGAAATTTTCATATGGTTATTATGAGGAACTGTTGTGTTAAAATATAAACTTTAAGGGTGCAGTGAGGAATATTCTATTTTAAATATTAAATGTAGAGCTACTTCAATTACTGACCATCAACGCGTTGAAAGTTAAATTGTTTGGACGCCAAAAGTTCTCATTAACGAAAGAAAAATGGACTACCTTAATCTTAGATTACTTAGTCCAATGAAATTTTGCGTCTTGGTTTCATTACAGGACTTCTGTTTATCAGGCATATGTTTATCAATAAATATTCAATGCGTTGAAGTGATGATAAAAGCAACTGCATGCCTCAGAGTGATTTTTGAAAATCTGACAGTCGCTCAGCTAGTACAGAGATTCCCCGACTTTTATGAAACCCAAAGGTTCATTGCCTTTTGACAGCATTTTGTCTGTCCTGAGCCAGATAAATCCATTCCACATCCTCCAATGTAGCAAGCATAACAGTCCATAATTTTTTTCATAAATTATTAGGGAGACAGACAGAGTTTTCGCCACCATAAGCTGTCTATGCTAATAAAATATGGAAAGCTAAAATATTGCCTTACTCTGTTTGGCAGGTTATAAAATACAGAAGTCCCTCACGTTACGTTTATATGAAACTCCGCGGTTGGCAAGACCAAGGCCTTATGGGAAACTGGAGGTCACAGGAAGCTGTTAACACTCACCAAAGCCAAAGTTGCCTGCCAGTCCCCAAATTCGATATTAACTATAGGAAGTGTCACAATAAGACGCACGGCAGTGTTAATCTGTTTGTTACAAAACCAACTTCGGGCACCACAGCTAATGTGGTTCTCTTGATGGATAAGCCAACGATTTTGTCCCGCGTGTACACAGATTAAAAGCCACGAATATTCGGAATACCGCGGTTGGCAAAATCGGATAATAAATTTAAAACCGCGTATATGTGAAATACGGGTTGGCGAGGGACTCGTGTACTTGAAACAGCTCGCTGCTTGGACTCCCGCTGATCCATTCACTTCTCACCTGTGAGCGGCCGATGTATCGTCTCCATTAGTGTAAAACTTAAACACGGCACTGCTTAAGTGACGACTGGAACACACAACCCGCTCGCTGGCAGTCTGACTGCTGACTGCCGAAAGGCTGGCTAGCTCGTGTTCTCACTACGCTGGCTTCTGCCACTTGACTGAAACTACAGTCGCCAGTCTGAGCAGCAATTGACGTGATTCTGCCAGCCCATGTGGAAATTAGAACCCCGTTCGTTTTGAATTCTTGCTGGCCGATCGACCGCATTAATAAAGTGGCTTAGCGTCTGGTTATCGGTAGTACTCGGTTTGAAACCCGTTAATGAACCAGATACCCTGACAAATACGGAAGGATTTATCGTACATTTTTCCAGATGCGTCATTTATAATCATTTCATCGTACACAACTGACGTCTTCTGTCATCATTAATTGTCTTTAGTATTTTAAAATATATTAATAAATGTTATTTACTATTCAACGGCGAGATCAACCTGACGCGAAACCACGTCCCTGAAACAGACTGAAAAAATTGTCATTTAGACAACGAAAAGTATGTTGGCCTACTTTTGAACATTGAACGTATTTTCTGCTAAAGTACATTATTACATTAGGAGGCGATCACAGAGGCCGAGAGTTCTGGGGCGTTTGTTGTTTCAACGACGAAAAACACGTATACTAGACTGATATCATTCGCCCTAAACATTGATTTTTCATGCGATACTATAAACTAAACCAAACAAATTTACCTCAACAGCGACTTTGTGGCTTATATTTCGGAAGTGCCTGGTTTAAATCTGAAAACGGAAGCCGATTGTGCTCTTTGGCATTTTTGTTAACTTTTCCACTAAGCCAGAGTGTGCAAAATTACAACTCTGGGATTAGGTGCGATTCGATAAGAAATTTAAACTTTCTAGCTGATATATTAAAAAAAGATTGTTAATAATATGGCCGAGTCTTCATTTTGTATTCGACCAGAAAGAAGATAAATTATTGTTACTGCAAATAAATACAAATCGGATAAAGATAGATATGTTGGATAATAAAGTGTTAAGTTAAGTACAGAATCTTCAAATAGATAGAATAAACGGACGACAAAAAAAGTTGTGCTGTTGATTTATTTCCTCGAAACATAATTAATTTATAACTTGAATAGATGAATTATTATTTACCTAGTCCTCTTTCTTGTTAGAACAGAAACATTACACGGCAGAATGCTAACCTTAGTTTCGATAGCAGCATTCAAGGCCGGGTACATTGTTCAGCCAGAATCGAGTCGACGTGGAGTCCTGGTGTTTTTATTACCACGGACGTCACCATCCGTGATACGAACTGTTGTCTCCGGTAGACACAAGAAATTTATTGCTGTGAAAAACAGTTTAAGTTATTTTAAGCGTTTAGCTTGTCGGAAGTTACATAAAATTCTGTAACTGACGAGCAGGTTATCTAAACCGAGTTGTACCGTTTTATACTCTCGACTGAAGCTGGGGGTATCGTGTTTTTTCTCAGTCGTTTCAGACAAACTTCTTCGTTCTCTGTGCAGGTAATTTCTCCCTTTTCCCTTATTTTAATCTGGATACTGAGATGACAAGATTAAGCCTTCAAGACTATGGTAACTATACTTACCACCTGCTTTAGCAATAAGTAATTGTGCACTTTTAATATGTCTATGTGTTTTCTTTGAGGTTCTGTGTGCTTAAATGTTATACAAACAGGCATTGGCTTCAAAGCGTAAATTAAAGTAGCTGGTGTAGCCTTTATGGACACCAATTTTGGTGAGTTTCTGTTACGGATGGTTTTGTTCCTGAGCTGTTGCTGCGTTCAAGGTTGTGAACAAGGGAATCAAGCCCAAAGACATTTTGCTCCAAGAGATTTTCCTACCAGAATTCTGTTTATATTTCTTTCCTGTCTTATTCGAACTTTTAATGTAATTTATAAATTTGTAACAATAAAGTTTAACGATATTTTTATGACACAAATTTAGTCGATAAACATTTAAAATTACGGAAAGTGCAGTGTGACTTAAGGGATTCAGATTGTAATGTTTGTAAGAGTCTGTGGTCCATCATCTTACCCAATTTCACACGGTCTTGTCTTCACTGCCGCCAAACGAAGCTCTCAACACGGAGCTACGTCTCCTGATTGTACCGGGTTATTTTAAATGTTATGCATAAATGGCATTAAATATTTATGTAGTGTAAATATCAAACATGCAATCATACAGAAATCTCAGGATGGTGCATTAATTGACACTATTGTTTCTACCACTTTTGAAGTTCGCACGGCAGGCATTTGCAGTATCAAGCTAATTATAAGTAATTAGAAGTTACGATGGTGGGGTGGCCTTCGTTTCGTGACGGCTAGTCAGTTTGTTGGAAAGTTTTAGGGGGGGGGGCACACATTGAGGCTTCTTTACTTTTAGAAATTTACTTGATAATTTGGAATTAAATTGATTCAATTAAATGTATTCTTAATGTTATTATATGCTTAAATTATCGTCCTCCTTGTTGCGTGTTCACTTCTCAAATTGTAATCCCTGCTCACGACCAAAGCGCTAAATTTTGTTAAACACGTAGTTTCATAAATTGGTTTTGATTCTAAATGCTATTTACGTATTATCAAGTATAATTAGTCTTCGGCTAATAAATCTATCAATGATTTTTCAGCAAATTTATTTTTCCTCAGTCAACAAGGTTTTGTTAACATGATTGAATACTACGTTACATTAGCTACATTGTATTAATTCAGACATACTTATTACAGATCTGAACTTAAAAAGTTTGCATCGCTATCCAATTAAAAAAGAAATTGTAATTGGAAAGCCAAGATAATGTAATTTAAATTAGGGAAAATTTAACGTCTTTGTAATGCATTTAGGATCAGAATAGTTTACATTTTTCAGTTCTGTATTTTTCTTAGTGTTTTTGTTATATTTGCAACCATAATGTGTGAGTTATGATGTTTTAATACTGACCCTAAGTATAATCTAAACCATTTCAATTCTTATTACATGTTGTTTCTAATTAGTCTAGTAATTTGTTTAAACTTCAGGATTCATTGAATTAGTCATTTTTCTAAATAGGTTTCACTTATTTTTAGCACCTTTTTGTATGGCACCTGGAGGTTCCATTAAAAATTTAATTGCAATGTCGTAAATCTCTTCTCGTTCGTTTTTATAATTGTCCGGGCTTCAGTCTCGTATGACATCACACGTCTTGCCAAGGTTGTGCAAATGTTGTTTTTGTGCTACTGAAGGTTTGAATGCCTTTCTCATTTCTCTGGCGACATGCACAGAAGTCGGTATCTTTGCGAATGCACTTGTCACCTTCGTGCGATAAGTTTTTAATGCGGCCCAGATACTTACAGATATCGGCTTCTGGTACTTTTCATTGACGCAAATTTGCTCTTGACACGGTCTTTATCTAAAAGGGCTGAGGTTCTTGTTTCTTAATTCGAAAGTGATACGTCGAATTCCTATGCAGATATCTGTAAATTATTTTCTGAGTGTTGTAATTCATATTCAATTTCAACTATCTGTAAGTAGAAACAAAAACTAGATTGAAGGTTTTGATTATATATTTTTAATTGTTTACGTCATGTAGTGTTCTTCGTAGACATAGTTAATAATGGAGAGGAGAGGCCACCATCTTGTCCCCTCTTCTGTTGATTGGCCTCAGATAAGATTTGCTATTTATTTTCTTTTTATAAGGAATTTATTCGAGGTTTCTTTAATTGTTAACTTAGAAACAATATTTAATAAAAGTTCGTACATATGTGTATGGTCTCTTAGTTCCAATGTTTCATTAGTAATCGCCATCAAATCAGTAGCTAAATATATGTTTTATGCAACCATCATTTTATAATTTTATATTCTACAAAATATTACCTCTAGAATTTATTATATTTATATTTTTCGTATTTAGAAAGATACCTTTAATTCCATGACTATCAACGAAATTTTGACCACTGTGTAGTATCTGTCCAGAAATAATGCTATGTGTTAGGTCTTAACAAATGTGACCCAAATCTTAGTTAGTTTTAAAATTTTCGCCTACGTTTGTTCAACAATATTTGGATAAATCATATTTTGAATAAATATTAATAATATGTTATAGACAAATCACACGGCGTTATGTAACTTTCGGGCGCCAGGTCGGTCCGACGTTCTGTGTTTATCCAGTCTTGACGCACACTTTCCGACATATTTAAAATGAGTAGGTTAAATAAAGTGAAATGCCACAGAATATCGTACATATTTGTGGTTTCGTAATGTATACATTTAAATTAAATTAACACAATTTGCTTTAAATATCGTGTTTAGGAAAAATTATCCCTACTTATAGTCGCCAAGCAAACTGATCATAAGTCTTAATTATATTCATATAAATAAGAACCCTGTAAATATGTTCAGATTTTCACCCCTTTAAGGAAATATAAGAATTTATTATCTAAAGTAAGTAGCCCGTGACTGTGCGTTCTATATGCTTCGACTAGATGAAGGAGTGTCATTTTCATATAATTATATATGCTGACTTCTGTAACAGGCTGCAAGGCCGAAAACAATTAATGTAAAGACGTACAAATATTTTACTCTACTAAATTGGACCTATCGTAAGGAAATTCTGATGCAATATCTTTTTGAACATGTTGAATGGATTAAGGAAAATAAAGGATTTATCTCTCCCGATCAATGTTAATGCTGAAAGACGGCAATTTATTCACAAGGGGTTATTCCTCTATAAGCTTTCTTTAGCACTTACGAATTTTGTTTGCAGTTTCGGAATTAATACTTCCTGTGAGAGAATGATGGACGAATGTAGATTCATGGTGCTGAGGAGAAGATTTTGGCCCGAAGAGGGGTGAATTATTAGGGGGCTGGAGAAAGTTGTATAATGAGGAGATTCATATACTTGCCATATATAGACAGATCAAGTCAAGGAGGATGAGATGGTCGTCGCATGTAGCA